TAGAGAATTTGAGGCATTATGGTGGACGCAGTAAGAAAGGTAGGAGTGAATGTGTTGTTTTGGTGATAGGAATATTGTTGGTATGTTTGGGTCCGTGTCTGTGACTAGCTAAGTTTAGAATTAAGACAGAAGAAGACCGTCCTTCCCCAACCCCCTTTTTAGCCTTGTGCCACATTTTGTACAGTAGTACGAATAAATAACTATTCCTTCCTATTTTGATACGATTCACTTGATCAATTTTAACAACATCAACAGCATTATCTTGATTGGGACACTACGGGACATTAATTCTTATTATTTCAGATTTGCTTCTTATTAGTTTGATCGGTGAAATAATAATCCAAAAAATGTTCTAGCGTTGCGAATAATATTATCTCTAATATATCCTCTGTTTACCCATAGTTAAGCCCAGTCTCTTGTTTTATTTATGAATTGATGTTTCAAGTAGAAATTAATACAAATGGTGGATTAACTTAATTATACATTTATATATTAGATTTTTACTGATCGTGACTTTATGAAATCTTCCATTTCTGTTGTTGTAATTAATGTACTTTAAACTAATTAAATTTTTTGGCTTTCATTGCAGATAATAAGACAGGGAATCTCTTCATTTCTTTACCGTTGCTAATTTAAATAAAAGTTCCATATAGACCATTGAAAACTTCTTTCCTATTCCCATACAGTTCTCTTGTTTATTTTAACCAACACCAACGACATTATCTTGCTTCAAACAATTCTTATTATTTAACACTTGCGTCTTAGTGGCTTTATTACCTTGGTCGGTCAAGTAATAGAAAAATCGTTTTAACTTTACGAATGATATTCTTATCTCCGAGGTCTCTTCTATTTACCAAAGTTTCAGCTCAGTCTGTCCTTTTATTTATGAATTCACGTTTCCAGCAAGAATTAATACCACTAGCATTAATGAATGGAAAGTAATAGGAATAACATTAAGGTTCCTGGTGTATGTCATGATCAAAATCAATAATTAATTTCGTCCTTGGCTACACACATTTCGATTTCTTTTGAAACATCTAGTTAGAAGATTCCAGGCCGATTGTTAATATCGATACCGTCGGAAGAATATTGAAATATATATATATATATATATATATATATATATATTTAGGATGAGTAATTTTCATTATTTACTTTGACAATTGTCGTCGTTTATGTTGCTGTTATCACAACTTTTCGGTGCAAAACTCGATAGATTACAAGAAATACTGAACTGAACTCTTTATTTAATCTACCTTAATAGATCGTTCTAGTTCTACTGCTCATGGACATCGTCTAGTTCTTGTTTTATTTAGTACTGTCACAGTTATTTCTCACTGGTTTCTACTGAGTGCAAGTACACAGTGCCTGACCCTGGGATTGAACGCACAACCACTGTCACCAAATTCACAAAAAACCGCTTTTATCCACTTGGACATTGACCTGTGGGACAATTTTATTTTGTAAATTTATGTCTTTAATCCCAACGTCAATTCTTATTAGGTTATTGTGTGTGTGTGTGTGTGTGTTGTGTATAAATATATATATATATATATATATATATATATATATATATATATATATATATATATATATATATATATATATATATATATATATATATATATATATAATATATAAAAAAATAGAATACGTGGATTTAACACATCACAAGAAATATTTAAATAAAATTCTCACTTAAAATTTTGAAAAACTTAGCGTTGCGTCTTTTGCACGTTCCGAGATCTCACACAACCGTCAATAATAGCAGATATTCAAAAACAACTTTTCGGTCGACATACAAGTATTTCGTCTCCAAGTTTTTGATTTTCTAAGGAAAAAACACATGCCTGATGATGAATAGAAACTATTCGTAAGTACTAGCATTTTAACATCAAATAAACGGAAAACGACAGACAACAAGTTTATCGACAAGGATCAACTCGCACTGTGGATGAACAGTATTTTAATGCATATATTATGTTTTCTAGCGATGGATGTCGCCAATAATCGCATTAATACTTCTGATTGATTCTATGTGTGATTATTTCTTTGTATATATATATATATATATATATAGTTTTAAAATAACGAGATTAATAACATACGCGATTACGGTTTCGACCTGGCGATCTCGTCGAGCTATAATTTCAAAATGACAACTTAACGCTTAATTTAAAAAAACACAAAGAACGCTGCATAATTTTCATTAGAAAAAATAAAAAAATATATTCTGACTGAAAGACAGCGCATTGGATGTAATGGGAATGGGAGTTAAAAAGGAGGTGGAAAAGGAGGGAAGCCACATCACGACTGTGAGAAAGCGACTGTAAATGAGATGCCAGATCAGGACCAATCACATTGCATATCCGTCCCTGGATTTTGTCGAGGACCTCGAGATAAACAGCAGAATTCCATGCAAAGACGAGTGGTTGCGTTATAGATGTGAAGGATGGACTCAGGCAAGAAAAATCTTTTTGGCGCGACAGGGAGAGCCAAC